CCTCTGGGTGCCTCGTCCTCCTTTCTCTGCAGCTGAATCGGGGCTGCACCCATCCTGCACGCCCCGGCGGCTACGCCCGTAATCCCCGCGGCCGGGTGCGGCAGGAATTACCTGTTCCTGGGCTGCTCCAACTTGCCCGCCCGTCCCAAGCAGCTCCCGGCCCCCCCGGGCCCCCGGCCCCTTTGGGGTTTTGCGCAGACGCTGCTGCTTTGCCTGCCAGAAGCCCCTTTGCCACCACGGGATCCCCTAGGATCCCCCCCGTCGCCACCGCGCTGAGCCAAATCGGCGCGGATAATTATTAATTTTTAATTTTTGGGGCCTGAAAAAGTGAAATTAGCCCCCAGCAACAAGCTGGAGAGCCCCACGGGCAGCTCCCGCCCGCCCCCACCAATAATTCCTCCCCGGCACCCTAATCTGCAGCCAAAGCCAATTAATTACCCACGCACCGATCCCGGGGATGCCGGGTGGGGAACCCAGCAGGGGGGGCTCCGTGGGGAACCCCAGGGGTGCAGAGACCCAGGGTGAAAGCCTGGGGCAGGTGGGACCCCACAAGGACCCCGCAGAGGAGCGATCCCTGCCGCTTGGTGCCGACCTCTGATGCGGGGAGGGGATTTGGGAGCCTTGGCCGTGGCCCCGTTGGGGTGTATCAGATGGTCCCCACTCCTCTCCGTTTTTTGGTAGAGCATGGCACGAGGCTCGGAGGCCCTGGTGCTTCTAAAATAGTGCCCAACAAATCCTCTTCGCTCGGATTTAGGGCCTCAAGACCCCGTCCCCACAGGGCTGCAGACCACCGGCAGCGGAGGCAGGCAGGGCATCCTCTTCGCTCTGCTCCCGAGGCCGCTGCCGGCTTTTCCCATGACCCGATTTCCCAAAAAAATAAATAAAAATCCCGTTAAGCAGCAGCAGCTCTGGATGGAGGCACCGCGGCGATGACACGGCCTCGACAGACCCCGCCGGGAGCGGGGTGAAGCCGAGGGAGCCGCGGCGGTGCTGGTGCCTGGGCGAGGGGGAGCCGCGAGTTTGGGGCAGAAAATCAGAGATTTGGGGGAGGGAGGAAGGAAAAGGGGTGGAAAGGATGGGGGTGTATGGAGAAAGGGGGGGGGATGCAGGAAGAGTGGGATGGGCTGAGCAAAAATGGGGGTTAAATGGAGCAGAAAAAAAAAATGGAGCAGAAAAAGGAGAAGAGGAGGTGGGAGCGCAGGGGGCGAAGGTTGGTCCGGGCTCGGGGCCACCCGACGGGGTCAGGAGCTGAAGTTTAGCCTCCGACCTCGCCAAGTGGACCAAGGGGCGAGGCAGGGTGCGGGCGGCACGGGGCTGGCAGTGAGCCCAGGGTGCAGGGAGCAGCGGCTGGAAGGGGGAATTTATGGTTGTCATCTGTGGGTGTCCCTTCTCCTTCCACCAGGGATCCTGCGGCTGCCCGGCCCCGCTGCAGGACGTCTCCAAAAACTCCCCGTGCCCCACAGACCCCAGGTTAATCGGGGAGAGATGTCTGCAGGCGGGGACTGGCCGAGCTCTGCCATTAACCTCTGTCCCCTTCACCCAGTGGCTGTTCTCGTGTGACCCTGCCCACACGGCTCCTCTCCGTCCCCATCCCCTGCCCATGCTCAATCCCACACCTTTCAGTTTTTGGGTTTTGCCTTGCCGGGGCATTTTGCACAGCCAGTGTTTTACCACGGCTCCCCCAGCCCCAAATGATCCCGGTGACACCGCCGAAGCTGCGAGCAAGGCGCTCGCTCTCTGCCTCCCCCCCCGCTGCCCGCGGCTGGGAGCGGGGACGGCGCTTGGAGCAGGAGCCCCGAGGTGTTTGGGAACATCACACCTCCCCTCGCCTCGCCGAGATCTTTAAATATCTGGCCCAAATCCACAGGAGCGCCGAGCTGCTTAACTCCTTGCCTCCAACCCGAAGGGAAATTCGGTGCCAAAACTCAGCCGGCCGAGGGAACGGGGCGGGAGGTGCGAAACCGCACCGGGGGGCGCATGGATGGCTGCGGGTGCCGGCAGCGTGCACCGACCCCAAAAGTCCTGGCGAAATCAAGGAGGGAAAACCCAAAACCCGTTGGGAAGCTGCTGCCACCGTGGTTTTTCTTGCCTGCAGCCGGAAGGCGCCCGAAGAGGCTCCTGCGGCAGGAAGCGCCCGCGCTGCCGGGGTGACTCAGCGCGGCGGGGCCCCCGCGCCCCCATGGGTGCTGCGGCCCTCGGAGGGACCCTGGGCCTGTGCGTGGTGGCAAGGGCTGTGAGCAGAGGGAGAAAAGCAACCCCAAACCCTCAAAATCCCCCGAACACGGCGCGCTGCCCCCCAAAATGATGCAATCTGCAAGAGGAAAGCGACACGCTCTCCCCAAAAATGATGCGCGCCTCCCCAAGAAAGTGAGGTGCCCTCCCCAAAACTGCTGCGCCCTCCAGGAGAAGATGTTCCCCCCCCCAAAGAAGCGAGGCACTTCCCCAAAACGGCCGTGCCGGATTTAGCACCCGCACACCGCGAGGGGAAGCAGCAGCTGGGGACAGCCGAGCCCAGCTCCCCGCCGGGGATGGCACCGCGGGGAGGGGTTTGGGGCGCCGCAAAGGGGACAAGGGGTGCCCTGGGTGTTTGGGGACGTGCTGCTTCTCCCAGCCGAGATTTGGGGAGCCTGATTTGGGGAGGATTTGCTCCTCAGACTGATTTGGGGAGCAGAGGCCGAGACACAGGCGGCGTGCTGGGCTATTTTTTCAGGAGAGCATCCCCTGGCACATGAGGCACCATCCAGGGCTCAGCCGAAGCGCAGCGGGAGCTGATGGGGAGCGAAGGGCGAAGCGGCCGATCCCTGGAGCCACAGGAAGGGAACAGAAAGTGCCCATGAGCTGGGGAGCCCCGGCTGGCCCCGCACCAGGGTTTGTGCTCACATCCCTGTGGGTTTGCAGCAGATGAGCTCAGCCCAGCCGGCAGCGAGAGCGATGAGTCAGGGCTCGGGGCACAATGGGAAGTGTGGGCTCAGCAGGGACGGGGACGCCGCCAGCAGCGGGATGGGGACACAGCAGGATGAGGCCCTGAGGCTCCGATCCTTCCAGCACCATGAGCAAAACCTCCCCTGTGGCTGGGCACGGGGAGAAAAGAGGGGCAGGGGTGGGAGCAGGTGTGCTGTGTGCCCATTCCCACCAGGACCGAGCACAGGACCAGGGCTGGGACCCCACGCAGCGAGAGCCACCCCGGCTGCTTCCCCGTGTCCCCACCTCCCTTCCTCCCATGGTGGCTTCCTCCCTTATGCAGCCTTTTTATTTAAAAAAAAATAAAAATGTATAAACCAGCCCAGAAGTGAAAGAGGAATAAAAAAAAAAGCCTCCTGCAGGATCAGGGCAGGAGCTGGCTGCGGGGCTCGGTTCGGGGCTGGGGGCTCCTGGGGCACAGAAAGCGAGCGCGGGTGGGAACAGGAGCCGCGGATGTGACTTTTTGATCTGCGAGTGAGCGACTTAAACAGCTTCTGCAAACGGCTCGGTGGCCCCGTGCAGCACAGGAAGCGCAGCGTGCAGCGTTTGCTGCTCTCCTGCTAGGGTGGAAACCCGATTTTGGTGCCACAACGCAGAGAATGGGGCAGGGGCACGGCCACGCGGCGTTCCCATGTCCGTGCTGCTCCCTCCCCAGCTCACCTGCAGGCCCCCTTCCTTGCTGGGAGGCAGCCAGGAGGAGGATGCTGCCCCCCTTTCCAAAATCCCCCTTTTATGCCCCAAAAGCAGCCGTTTCACCTCCGGGCCGTGCAGAACAAGAGGCACAGAGGCGACCACCGCTCTCTCGGCCTCCCCCTGCTCAGCAGCTGTTTCCTCTGCACAGAGCCAGGGGCAGCAGCAGCAGGGGCAAAGTTTTGGGGTTTCACATCCCCTCACAGCGGGTACGACGAAGACAAGAGGGTTTCAGGGGGTGTGAGGGGACCCGTGTGCCCCCCAGGGTCCCCCTCACCCCTCACCAGCCCCAGCTCGGGCACTGTCGAGTTTTGCGCACCCCAAGCTGAGGGCCCGGAGGCGCAGGCGAGGAGGAGAGAAGCACGACTTCCTTTTTTCTTCAGAAAGAGATGAAAGGAAGTGCTGAGAACACAACCCCGCAGATAAAACCCAGCTGCTCCGCCAGCACCGGCCCCATGGGAGATGCTGCTGCACCCCCAGCGGGGAGCACCCCGCTTCTTCTCGGGCGAGGTTTTCCACCAGCCCCATCAGGCTGGCACGAACAACGCCAGTAAATCTCTTCCTGCAGGCCACCTTTTAATTAAGGAGCTCTTTTCAGGGCGAGTTAACAAATAACGCGTGCGGTTAGGACAAATTACAGCCTCGCTTCGCCGCGCGCTCGCTCAGTCGCCCGCGCCGAGCTCTGCAAGCTGAGGCAGCGCCTTGCGGGGCGCGGGGCTTCCTGGGAGCGCTCTCGGCGGATATAAAGCGGGGCCGGGGGCAGGAGGAGGGCTGCAGACAGCACCCAGGTGCCTCCCAACAGGGCTCCCCGCGCACGAGCTGCTGACTCAGCGCCTCCGTCGCCGGTTCTGGAGGAGGAACTGCGTGTGCTGCACGTAGCGTGCAGCAAGGGGCTGAGGGAACAAGGCTGTTAGAAGCCGCGCCAGGCAGCATCGCTGCTGCAGCAGACCTGATTTCACAGGCGTGCTGGGGGATGGCACAGCCAGCCTGGGATGCTTCCTCGTATGGAGAAGCAGCACAATTTTCCCTGAAATTAAATTTCGAAGCGGTTTCCCCTGAAATTTAATTTCAAAGTGCGCAGCAGCAAGGGGCAGCTGGGTAAGGAACGCCACCTGCAACAAGGAACCTGCTCGCCAGAATAATTTAAAGGTGGCCCAACTTAACGCTGCGCATCCTTATAATAAGAGAATTCAGATGGGGTTAAAAGAAAGAACAATTTCACCCAGGTTCAGGCCCATCTGTGCATCCTCTCAGTGCCGTACCCACCGCCACGATGCCCTGCTCCTGCAGCGCGATTCCCAGGACCTCTGCAACGCAGAAACAGACACAGAAACCACCAAATGCCCAACTCGAGTGGAAAAGTTTTATTGAGCGGCTCTCCGGGCCTGTTTGAGCCCCCTCACGGGGGTTTCTCCTCCGACAGGGCGGGTGGTGCTGCTTTATGGCACGGAGACTTCCATGCAGCGCCCTTGGGTGTGCTTTGGGAGTGCTCAGCCAGGAGTTAACCTGACCACGCAACCAGTGCTGCTCTGGATTAAGCTCTGGTTCCATTTTAGCCTTCCTCTTCTCCTGCAGGCAGCAGGAGATCGGTGTGTGCTCAGAACGGGGCTATCAGGGCATCTGGGGGAAGGAGCCCGCTCCTCCCCGCGCCTCGTGCCAAGTCCAGCAGCGTTCCGCGGGTGAGTCACCAACCACGCTGCAGGCAGTCCCGTTGCGGAGCTGTTTCATGCTCTCTCCGTCTTCTCCAGAGCTCCAGCCAGCTGCCAGAGGACAGATAACGTGGTCAAAGATCTCACAACAGAAAAATCTAGGAAGACAGCTGAAAAATCCCCAAAAGTACAGACTTTTAACTAGAACACTTCTGTTTAAGTACTGGACCCACGTGTAACGCCAGCACCGTATGCAGAGCACTTTCTTCATGCCTGTCTGCTCAGTGTTAACCAAAAAATGCTCTAACAGTGACAGGGAGGTAAGAACCACCTCTACAGACTGGTTTTGGGAGGAGGGAGGTAGAGCAGAGCGCACAGGACTGAAACGTTGGTTTTTTATTACTTTGGTGCTTCAAAACTCCAGCTTTGAGGTTCTACCGCGCTACACAGTGTGGAAACAGAAGAGAAAATCAGCATGCGGCTCGAAGGTGGCCCTGCTGAAGTCAAAGGTTGGCACCTGGCAGAGCTCCGCAACAAAAGAGCCCCTTTGTACCACTGCAGTTCTGCTTTGTAGTTCCACGGGGTCCCTCACGGTATTTCACAGTCAGTTTACAGCTTCAGCTCCACCGGTGCCAAGTAAACAGCAGCTCTGTTAACTCCTGGCAACGCACAACGCGCCGGCCAAATCAACCTACCGCTCGCTTCCTGTGGATATTCACGATGTGGATGTCTGCGCTGCGATACTCCTCATCGTGCTTCTCCAGGGGAATTTTTTCCAGCTCAAAGTCCGCCTGAAGCAGCTGTTATAAGAGGACACGAAATAACTCAAATGACACTGCCCTTTCGAACTAAGCACGCGTGAAGACAAACTCGATTTAAAAGGTGCCACACTACGCCCCACGAAGGTGGGAATTCTTACGGGGCTGGAGCCTCCATGCTCAGACCATTCCACTGAAGGCCTTTACAAGCAGGCGAGCCATTTTTCCCCCCAGTGCAGCACATTTGCCCTCATTTTAACTAACCCCGTGCCAATTCAAAGCTCCAGACATCTTGCGAGGTACAAAATAAAAACCCTAAAGCTTTTGACAGAAGGTTTTGCTTCCTCCCATCCCAAAGTGCTACGCCAAACCACAGCACCTGCCTCTGTCTGCCAACCTTCACAGCTGGAGAGAAAAGAAAACAAAAACACATCAACCCTGCAACGGGCTTGGAAGATTAACTTGGCTGAACCCTGACAAGCTAAGGAAGGAAATAAATTACAGGAAAGCAGAACCCATCCAGGAACACCTACACCTATTGTATTTACTGTGGGAGCAGTACCTCATCAGAACCGATCTCAATTATAGCAACCCTCCTCACAGTCAGGTCCCTGCAAGAGTTCGAGGCAAGGCTAATTACCAAAGAGGCGCTTTTATTAACACGTACAAATCACCTTGGAATTCTTGCCCTTCCTTTTTTTTTTTGTAGTGCTATTATTTCATACAAACCAGCTCTCCTGTACAAGGGCTGCTTTTCAGCAGGCTTCACAGGTACAGAGTCCAATCCTGCACTGACCGTCACCCCCACAGCCGTAACCAGTGTTTTGTGTCTCGACCTGCTCAGGAGATGCAGCTGGTCTATTTTTAATCACCTCACCTATTAATGCTCTCTCGGTGGGGGGCAGAAATGTTTGCAAAAGCAGCTGTACCACTTAGCAAGGAGCTGATTTCCTGAGCTACTTGGGAAAACTCTACCCATGTTTTCCCTGTGCTTTCAGTTGAACACATTAAAAGAAAAAAGATTTTCACCAGATTATTTTTTAATCCTCCCAATGATTTCTGCTAACATCAAGACGATTGCTGCAGAAAGAAGACAACAACTAATTGCTAATTCTCTTGCTCCTACATAAATTACCCTGCCTACCCTGATACAGACAGATATTGCTGGATGTGTAGGGTCCCTTTTGCAAATCTGGGCAGCATCACAGGACCGAGAGGATTTTAAAAACCCATGCAGGTCTGGCTGCCAATTTTCCTTGTGGTCAAAAAGCCCACGTGAAAAACACTTACCTCAAAGTACCTTCTCTCTATTTCAGGATTCTTCCCCATAGTCCTCTGTTCGTAACAGCACAAGACACACGTATCAGGGCCAGTCAGGTCTTTCAGTGTCTTCAGCAACGGTTCTAACGACTGCCCAAAAGAGGTTAAGAATTTCCCACTTAGATTTCAAGTTCATTTTCCTGGTACGATACCCTCTAACTAGAGAAAGTCTTCACCCAAGAGAAAACTTTCCAGTTTTGCTTTTCAGGGAGTTATTTTTAGTGCATTATCTAGGACAAAAAGAACATGGGGCCAAGCTGGAAAGCAGAAGAGAAAGTGAGATTGCACAGAAGATGACTTTCACAGACTGACCAGGGAAACTGAACTAGCATCAAAGCCAAGAACATCCCACAGTGCTGAAGTGGGCACTTCCTTGAGGCACGCAAGAATGACTATTTCTTGACACTCTTCAGAAGTGTGTGTTCTTAGGCGTTCTTGGAATATGGCTCGGATCCAGAACCCTACATATGGAAGCATGACCAGGGAGCCAGTGCAAGGGGCTGGTAACTGAAACAGCGCTGGGCCACGGGGTTCCTCGGGTCATTTCCCTTTTCTGACTACTGCTGTCAGCTCTCTGCGCACAACCCACAGCGCTACAGGGCGAGAGCTGGGGGAAGGCTGCAACAGCCGCTTGGCTGAAGCACGAATTCTCCCTTCCTAAGGGAAGTGACAGGGGCACGAGCAGTGCAGGGATGGCACTATTAGTTAGATTCCATTCGCCAATGCACAAGACAGCTCACAGCTATCAGTCGAAACGTTTTCATTCACACTTCACTTGAAATGTTAAAGAAAAAGGAGAGGGAATAACTACTAAGATTTATTATTTTTTTTAAAGTCTCTGGCTGAATCTCAGATGGCCCTAAATCTGTTAAAAATACCCTTTTCAGCCTCGTTTTACACAGCCCTCTAAGACACAGGGACCAAGACACAAGCACAGGATTTATTTGAACACTTCTCACGCCAACCCCCAACTCCTCCCAGGCAAGCTTTCTACAAGGGTTTCGCGAAGGCCTCGTTTACCTCCTCGTAGTAAATGCAATCAGCCATGAGTATGTAATCAGGGGGCGGCTGAAACTCTGTGACATCTTCACCCCTAAAAAAAGAAGCAGAAAAAGGTGAGCGCTGCCTTCCGCCACACAACACGCTGTGCTATATATATAAATGAGCAGATACAGAGTTAGTGATTTTAGCTTCCATTCTGAAGCAGCGTTTTCACATTTGGTAACATCGGGAAGCAGAACGGGAACATTCAAGGCTCATACAAACCATTTCAGTACCTTGGCTCGGACTGACCCCGTGACGAGGTGTTTGTTGTTCTCTATATTAACCAGCAACAGCTCCTGCAGCTCCTCCAGGTCGGTGACCGTCACGTTCGCCCTACAACACACACGGGTCACCTCACGGCCGCACCTCCCCACATGCACAACCCCCTTTTTTTTTTCTTTTCTTTTTTATGAGGGGGAGAGGATTTAAACCCGGCTTTCGCACATCTCCATGCACCGAAGGAGGAGGAGGAGGAGGAGGGGAAGGCTCCGCTCACCCCAGCGTGGCCGCCATGATCCCGACGGCGCCGGTGCCGGCGCCCAGCTCGAGGACGGCTCGGCGGGCGAGGGGACAGGCGCCGGTTTCCAGGAATTTGGCGAGCACCAACGCCGCGTCCCAAACCACACAGCCCACGTCGCCCGCCTCCCGCTGCTCCAGCCGCAGCGCCGGGCCGCCCCGCCGCTCCAGCTCCCTCACGAAGCCGCCCGCCGCCGCCATGGCCGCGGGCTCTGAGGCGGCGCGGCCCCTCCCCGCCTCAGGGGCGCCGCCCCGCCGCCATGGCGGCCGCAGCGGGCTGAAGGAAATGGCGGCAGGGGCCATCGCCTCAGGGAGCGGTGCTCCCCCTACTCAGCTTCTTCGGACTCTCCGCTGAAGCAGCGGGGGTCCCACAGGGAGCTGTTTCGTTAGAAGTGCTCCATAAGCTGTTTTTTAAACTCACCTGTACGTTGGCTGCTACAGGAAAGTGTATTCTGAGCTGCCCTTGCTTGACAGGAAAATCCCTTTTCACCTGAGTTTACTGTTTGCTGGCAGCACAGGGGCAAATGTAAAGCTGCCACGCTAACAGGCATGGTTGCTGTAGGGAAGAAACAGCAGTCCCTGCTTGTCTGCTCATTAAAACCTTGTACATGCTCGTCCACAAAAGCCAGAGTTTAGTTTAGAGGTGAAAAACCTCCAGTGTGAAGACCCCATGGAGAAAGTTCCCCCATCCCCATCCCTGTCCCTCGTCCCACCTTCCTCGCCCAGCCCTCCCGTTCTGCTGGGCCTGATGCTGAATGCCAGCCAGAGGAAAGTCAGGCTGTGGAGGAAAAATGGGTTTCTATCACCATTCTCTTCACCCTACACTAACTGCTCTTCCAAAAAAACACAGGTCTGGAAACCAGCACAGTGCAGATGTCTGGGAGAGCTGCAGGTGCCCAATGTCACCTGGAGATGTTCACTTTCCATGTGTGTTTGTGTAAACATGGGGAGCATATGATCAGATTCCAGCATCTTTCCAGCTTGTTTATAAGCAAAACCCATTCCACAAGTTGCTCCATGCAACCAGAGGCTGTAGCCTGTAAGCGCTGTGGGCACGCAGTCCCACCTAATGCCACAGCATTGCTACAAATCCCAGGTGTTCGAGGTCCTCATCCAACATTTAAACTTCCAAGGTTTTAAAAAAGTAGCTGAATATGAGTGGACTGTGAGTCAACATCGTCAAATGCAAAGGCTTTTTGTTGTTATTTTCCTTCGATGTTTGGAAACTTTAATTACTCTCTTTCTTAGCATTTCTTACTGATGCTCACTCCCTTCCCTCAGGAGGAGTTCCTGCATTTAGTAGGAATCCTGAACGGGCCATTCAGACCTGTGGTGTAGTTTAGAAAACTGGAAAAATTTGAAATCTGGAAAGAAAAAAAAAAAAAAAAAGAATAAAAGATGGTTAAAGATGGTTTCTTTTTTTCCCTTTGTTCTGGATCTGCTGTAGCCAAGTCATAGTGCCTGAAGAAATTATCCTGGCTCCAGAGCAGGAGGAACTGCTAAAACCCAGTAACTCAAAATAGGATCACTGAAAGAAACTAGCAAGATGTTTCGCTTGCTATTAAGCGATTTCACATTCCATCTGTTTATCTGCACTTTTCTGAGGGAACTGCCTTTTCCCACACCAGCCAACTTCAAACCCAGCAATTTCACATTTTTCCTCTAGCATTTTTTTTTGCTCTTTTTATCCACCCCTCTAATTACGAAGTAGCTGAAACGTTAATTTACTGCTATCTTGGCATTCCAGCGAACCACGCTGCTGGGAACCTGCCTGCCTCTGACCACTTCCACAGCAGAAGGGTTACTTTGGGAATGCGCGTTTCTGTACCCGCTGTACTTTTAAAGCTGCTGGCATTGCTCTTGCTGCCCTGCTTTGGAACAGTTCTTTGTTTTTGCATTTTCCAGCTCCTGTTATGCTTGGAAGACGGTTTAATTGTGCGGTAAGTTATCCATACGCAAGGCCTCTTTTCTGAATCATGCTGTGATTTATATACTTCGAGTTAACTTCAGAACTGGCTCTGTGAAGGTACAGGGTAATATTTCACGCATGGGAAATGCAACCGGGAACAATGTTTTGCTGCTGCTTTCTAGCACAGGCAGCGTGTTCTTCTAGCACTGCCCAAATACCTTGGGCAACATGTTTCCTCATTATTACCTCTATCGGGAGATCTAATTTAAGAGGTTCCTACTCTCCTCTCCTCTGGCTAGAGCTTTACTGGCCCTCCACCAGTGCTGATTCACTTCACAGAACCACAGGATGGTTTGGGCTGGAAGAGACCTCACAGCCCATCTAATCCCAGCCCCTGCCATGGGCAGGGCCCCCTGCCCCCAGCCCAGGCTGCCCCCAGCCCCATCCAGCCTGGCCTTGGGCACTGCCAGGGATGGGGCAGCCACAGCTCCTGGGGCAGCCTGGGACAGGACCTCACTGCCCTCTGAGGGAAGAATTTCTTCCTAATGTCTGTTCTAAACCTACCCTCTTTTGGTTTAAAGTCATTCCCCCTTGTCCTATCACCCCACCTTGTGACAAAGAGTCCCTCCCCAGCTGTCCTGCAGCCCCTTTAGGCACTGGCAGGCTGCTGTGAGGTCCCAGCTCTCAGCCTTGTCTTCACGAGAGGGGCAGTGACACACCAAGCACACCTTGTGAAAAGCAAGGGGATCTTTTTCCACATCCAGTTCAGAGCACAACAAAATACAGCTGAAGAGGCACCAGGAGGAGGAGGAATAACTGAGGAAGGCAGTGGTGTTGGTTGGGCACTTGCTTAGTGGGACCTGCTGCTGTCAAAACCACAACATAAACTCATAGGCTCCCATCTGAATGTAGAACTTCCACCCCAAGCCACTCTTTCACAATTAGGTTTAAGAATCAAAAAATGAAGCCTTTCATGGGTCCCTCCCTATGTGTGTTGTAGGCTGCCAACATAAAATGCAAATCGTCACCTAAAAAAGGCTGTCGTGAGCGGTGTGCCCCTGCATCATCCCAAGGGGAGCTCTGCTAAACACACACTGCTTCTGCCACAGCTTCACGCTCTGCTTGAACTCCATCACAAGTTGGAGCCTCACAAAGGATCTGGAAGGCATGGCCTGTGAGGAGAGGTGAGCACAGCTTGGTTGTCCAGTCTGGAGGCCACAAGGAGACCTCCTTGCTCTTTACAGCTCCCTGAGAATGGGAAGCACTGAGGCAGGCACTGAGCTGCACCAGGGAAGGTTCAGACTGGATGTCAGGAAAAAAAAAAATATCCTGAGAATGGTCAGGCACTGGCACAGGCTTCCTAGCTGATGCCCCATGGCTGTCAGTATTCAAGAGGCATTTGGATAACACCCTCAATGACAAGCTCTAACTTTTGGTTAGCCCTCAAATGGCCAGGCAGTTGCACTAGATGATCTTTGGAGGTCTCTTCACACTGATCTATTCTATTCAGGGTCTCGATGGAGGGAAGTACTTTGACATACATGGGAGGCCATTACTAATCAGCAGATGCTCAGCTTAAAGCGGTCTGGTGAGGACTTTGCTGAATCAGGACCAAAATAAAGCTATGCTGCATTGTAATATGGGATATGGAACATGCGTCTGGTCTAAGCACTTGTATAGGAAGGTACAAAAAGCTGACATTTGTATGTTCTCAGGAAAGGAGCGTGAAGGGGACAGGCAGGAGAAGAATGTCCAAGAGACAGACACCAAGATGCATCTTCCCAGGAGAAGAGAATTAGCACTCCTTTCCAGGCGTATTGTCTCTCCTCTTCCTGAGGAAGTGCCTGACACGGTGGCAGCAACATAAGCAGGCTGATGAAAAGCCACAGTGTGACTTGGAAGCCTGAGCTGCTTTAAATCCCACCACAGCGCTCAGCCTCCAGACAGGAACTGGAAAAAATGGAAACCACTTCTCCAGCTAGAAGGGCTGAGGCATCTATCTGGTGGGTTAGCAGGTGGAGGGAAAGGACACGCTCCCAGGGAGCTGTCATGTGTCACGCTCAGCTTCCTTGAAACTTTGCTTGCAGCACGGTGTGGACGCAATTGCAGAAGAAACGACAACAAAAGCTGAGAATAGCAACGTGGAAAATTGGGGCATTTTGTACTGCAGACTTACTAAATCCAGTTCCAAACCTTGTCCTTACAAGGAACACGCACTGCTCAAGCTCTTGAAAATTAAGACTGGGGTGATTTATTAATCTTGTTAAGAACTCTGATACAAAGCACAGTAAAAGGCCACAGACCAGTAAATAAAATGTGGCTTCTGACCACTTTATAAATGCTGCTACAGTACTACCAGTAAAACAGACTCACTCTCACACCAGTTCAAACAAGTAGTTCAACTGGCAAATAAAAGTTCCATTCACTTATCAGTTTAAAAAGTTTAATAAAGCTTTAAAGTGTTTGCTGGTTTAAATGCTACCAATTTCCAAAATGGATTCACGATTAAGTTAAGTGAGATCTAAAGGAAGGTATTAGGTTTGGAAGGCAAGACTGTTCCTAAGCCAGAGGAAACACTTCTGACCGTATAGGATTGCGAGAGTAGCAGACTGTATTATAGGCCTCACGTCACTTCAATTTATACAGGTTATTAGCATTATTTGTAAATATACAATATAAACAATTGTACATACATGGCATATAGCTTTGTTCTCCAGAACAGTAGACAACTCTTTAGCTTAAGACATCTTCACCTACCAAAACAAAAAGGCACATCTGAACAAGATGCATGCTAAGTACTAGGGATCCTTTCCAGTATCTGAGACAGGCAGTCCTTGTTCATACTTCCTCAAAATAATCAAGACCAACTGAGTATTTTGGTATCTTCTTTTAGATTTCAATCTATTTTTTTTTTTGTCTTCAGCAGCAAATCAATGGCAATTAAGACATGGCATTAAAATATTTGGGAACAGTAGCTGTCACTCACGAACCTCCAAGCCCACACAGAGTTAGAAGGCAAGTGGCCAGAGGTTTAAAATCAGGAAACGCTGTATATCCTGCCGTTGGGTAATCATCCCATTGTTCTTTTTAAAAAAGGCCACTAGTGCTCAAATTTGAAAAAAAAAAAATCCACAGACGCACCTTTTTTGGCTCAGTGCAATTAAATGATGTCAGTTTAAACTCAATTAGTGTAGTTTACAGTGCAAAAAGATATATTTTGTATACTGGCATAACTGTCGGCACTAAGGACGTGAAACAAGGCAATGCTGCTGACCACCTGAGGGTAATGCTGTCGAACAGACGCAGGCTAGAGTGTGTGTCGTCTTATTTTTCCAATTTAAGCTATTTTTTTTGTTTGATCAGCAGCACTTTAAGAGCATAATTTGTGAAAAGTACTAAAATACACTGC